CTCGGATTTTTAGAATATTTTGCTACTGAACTTGGCAGCAATTGCAACTTTCCATTCCTCCATAAATATCTGAACATGACTTAGAATAAAAAAGGAGCTTAATGAGGTTGAAAGAACAAATATTGGTGTCATTGAAGAAGTACCTTTTGAATTAAATCCATTGTCAGGAATATATAAAGACAGTTGTCTTTATCGAGCCATTCTTCTTGAGAGCTCAATCTTCTGAATGGAAGAGTTAAAGAGTTGGTATTTATAGCTGGATGCAGAAACAATTGGGAGCTGTTGTTTCTAATTATGTATTTCTTTAAACAGTGTTACAAGCAATGGTTTTAAAGTAGCATTTACAAGTTTAGTACTGATTTTCAAATTGTGTTGAGTTATTGTCTATTTTTTTCCTCATTTGTGATATGTTAGCTATTTTAAATGGGTGAATTATTAGATTCTAAGAGATCTTCTTTATTATAAAATCATCTATTGAAGTAGGCTAACCAGGATGCAGGTTGGGGGACCATTTTAGTTGTGAAGAAAAATTAAGGCAGGATTTGTCTGTGTGTGTGTGCACATGCACGCGTGCACTGGAGAAAATGTGTATTGGTTTGCTGACTAGTTCAAATGAGCATTTTGGTTTCAAGATGAGTTTTGTATGTCTAGTTAATATCTTCTAGTAGATCAGATGGCATGTCTGGAAAAAGTAGGTGAGCTGCTTTCATTTTTAGATCTGCTTTAATTTCACTGTCCTGTGTTCAAAGGTGAGTGTTCAATTGCAGGGGAGGTTTAGGGTGGAAAAGCTGGACTACAGCAGGTGGGTAATACTGCTGCTCATTTCAGGCGTGGGCACATGTTGATGCTGACTGATCTGTAATTTGACTCTCTTGTTAGAAATGTATTTGTCTCGTTTTTTTTCTTTCTCCATCTCTCAGAAGTGGAATATCAGCTTTTTGTGAGTTCAGATAGTAATGATGCTTTCTTTGCATAGATGTGCTTTTTGTTGTTTCTGTTTCCTAGTTCAGGAGCCTAGGATAAATTTTATTTCCAAATACATGTTAGAAGTATGTGAATTATTCCATATGATGTCAACAAGTATGTTTGTGTTTTAAATCTTACAAGTTTAAATACCGTGAATTCTAAAAGCAATAATTGTCAGGCTTTTAAACTGTTACGTTTTATGATTTAATTTCACAGTTTAGAAACAGGTTACAATCATTGTTGTAATAATTGAAGTTTCAGTTCATAAACTCATTACTTTGTGATGGCTTGTGTGTTGTGTATAGCGTAAAGGTGCTGTTACTCTGGCCTCTTTGGTAGTCACTTTGCCTTCCCAAATTCTGTAGGTTTAGGATTATTCTTGCAAACATAGTTTACTGTATGATGTCTATTATATCAGTTACATAGGTTCGTAAATAAATTGTAGTGTATTCTGGACTTCAAGGAATGTCAAGAATAAACTTTGTTGGTGAGTTTGCAAGATTCCTGAACCCTTGTCATTGTGTTTCTTTATTGCTACAACTAATGATGTTTGGAAGATTCAACCGGAGAATTCGAGTAAGTGAATTATTCTCCAAAACACCGAGCAAACAGAGTCAGTTCCTAGAAATAAAAATAAAAATGAATGCCCCATTAGTGTTGATTCATCAGTTCTTATGTATTCCTACAGAAACCTGGTGGTGAGGCTCCTAGGAGCTGTAGGGGTGTGTCTTACCTACTCAGCTGGTAGAAGAATCCCAGTTATTATTTGCTGTTTCTTTTCTTAAGGCAGATGGTCCTTACTCTTTAAGATCTGTGTATATACATTCAGCACACAAAAAGTGAGCGTGGAAGAAGATGGATCATGTTTTTCTAGCGTTATTAATTGGCAAATGTAGCATATTGTAAATAAGAAAATTGGGCCATGTGCAAAATCATAGCTAAGTAACTTAGTGAGTATAAATGCCTGTTAGGTATTTTGTACAAGAGAGGAATAGATATGGAAAAAATGCCATTGTGTGTGGTGTATGATTTACTGGTGCCATTTTATCTACTTAGAACAATAATAGGTTTTGAATCCTTCTGTGCTCTCCTAAACCAGTGTAATACACTTTCTGTTAAAAGAGATAGGCTCTAACAAAAATAATTATTGAACAATGTCCAAAAAAAGTGGCTATAATTTTGGCGTATCATGCTCTGCTTTTTGAAATAGCATTGCTCTTTGTCCTGAGGTAACCTTAATAGTCTGCAAAAAGGAGAGAGAGCAAGAAGGAAAAAACAGCTTGTATACAGCTTTGGTCATGTTACTTGATAGTTGCATCATTAGTAGTTTCTTCTGGTCCTCAGTAATCTGAATTTTGTTGTTACAAATCTCTGTATTTTAAAAGCAAAAATAACCAGCAACATAGTTGTGGGACAATAAATGTGTAGGAATGTAAGTTAATATGTAATACGGTGTCCCAGTCGTTAAGCTATGGTCCATAACAGGTCTGTTGTTGATGACAGGTGGGAAATCATAGCAAATTCCTTGTGTAGGAGTTAAACTTAAGTAGCTCTTCCTGCAGATACATATGGGAAAGCTTGATAACTTAGAAGTAGCGTACATTTGTGCCCCTACATTATTTGGGATTTGGCCAGTTCTTTTCTGTTCCTGCCACCTCAGCAGTACTGCAGTCCCACCTACTGCTAGGGCAGGTTGAGTTTCATAGCCTTTGGGTACATTGCCTATTTCTGAACCAGAATAGTTGCCTGGATTTCGATAGGACAGTGATATCGAAGTGTTGCAGTGGGTTATAAATGCTCTGTGGCACTAACTGGCTGGTTTTTATTTTCAAATTTAAATATGCTATAGAAAACAAAAATAGTCAAGGATGTTTTGTAATCACACTTAGTCTGTAGATCACACTTTAAACAGAATTGGACTGTTGTCTCAGTTTTACAAGGTTTTCTTTTAACCCCAATTTCCAAGGAGCTTCTGAAAATAAAGTTTACATTTGGCAGAATGGGGATTGCTCTTTGGGATGGATTGATGTGGATTTGATTTGACAGAGATTCTGCTGTTATTGATCAACCAGCAGTTAATTATTCCCTGTAACTTTGCTATAATCAGTTTCTCTGACTCACGGGTATTTGTTGGCGTGCCTTGGCAACATTTAGGATGAATTTTAGTTAAATCCAAAAGTCAGCTCTATGATGCTTCCAGAAGGTTTGACTGTGGCATTTCATGATAATGCAAATACAGAATTGTAGAAGAGCTTAATGGATTTTTGTACTATTCCTACATCACCCATTATAATAACTTCTGTAATTAATAAACATATTATTATTAATATACAATACTGCAGTATAGAGTAAAAATAAACATGTTAACAGTAAACATTGCAACTGTGTCCCTCTGAGTTCCCCTTTTTACTCTCATCGGCCTCCCCACAGTGTCTTTTATTGTTTGCTAAAGTATACTTAAATTTCTCCTGTAATATTTAATGTTAGCTGTACAAGAAGCAGAGTGTAATGCAACTTATTCTGACGTACATATGAAGTAACCTTCTAGTCAGTAAAATGTCTATGTTGCTTGGAAATGGCAGGCCTAAAAGACTGGGTAAATGTGAAATTTGCATTGCAGCTTTTTTCTCTTTTTTACCTTTATGGATCCTAATTTGAATCTCTGCATTTTATCCATTTGTTTACAAATTCGTTTTGCTTTGGGTTGTCTGTTTGTGTTCCCACCCATAAAAATTCATAGTATTTATGAGAGAATATTCTGTCAGATTTTGTTGAAATTGGTCTATATGTCGAGAGGTCACCATGGAATGGCATTGCCTTAGGAAACCAAGCTAAAACACTGTAATCAAGTGGTTTAAGTGATTGGAGAAGTGATTGCTTTTCTCCTGATTTGAAGTGATACACGCAGGGATAGTAAAATGCATGGCTTTCCTGTCTCTTGCTAGCAGTAAAGTATGAACGATAGGGAAAAATTATATAATTCCCTGATAGAAACTGAGATATGAAAAAATCCTGTCTTAAATTTCTTGTTATGTATTAGACTGAAACTACATTTCTACACGATGTGGTAACCCATGTGGCAGCTTACTGCTGTTCAACCAGGGGAGGTCTCCGTTGATAGTTAGCTGCTTCTAATGTATCTGCTGTCGGGGCCTTTTCTTGAATAGGCTCAACTACTAAAGCTTCAGAAAAGTAACCCAGGAAAAAAAAAAAAAAAAAAAGAGAAAAGGATTGCTTTCTTCTAGGTGGTGAATTCCAGTGGGTTATAGATCTCGTGAGTGCCAGAATTGATGAGAAAATAGAGGCAAGTAAGACTGTGTACCCAGGACTGAGGGAGAAGACGTAGAACTGGAATAGAAGAGTGTAAGATCGTAAAGGAATATGGACAGTCTTCTGTAATCCTGACTTGACAGGACAATCTTCAAAGTTTGTTGTGGTCTTTTACTTTTTCCTCAAAATAGGGAAACTGCTGTAAACAGTCGTTTTCTTTTGCTGTTCCTGTTTGAGCTGCATTGTACCTGCAAGCAGCATGGACAAAGGTCAGAAGAGGGCATGTTGATAGTTTAAGGTGCTGAAGAAGGATTTAAACATCCAGTTCATTTCTCAGCTGCATCCAGGTTCCTCATGATCAGATCGGTTTCTAGAGGTAATTCCAAATGAGAATAGATATGGAAAATGTTAGTAAATATATTACATTGTTATGAGGTCCTTAGAACTTGCTGCAGTTTAACCATAAATTAGATGGGTGCAAACATCTCTTGGGGGTGGAGGGGAAGAAACAACATATACAGAAGTAGTAGAGAGGGGGAAAATACATTGCTTTAATTTGGATTAGAATTATTGGTAATACATACGAGTGTACTTTTATAAACCCGTTCAAAGTTTGCAAGAAGTTCAGAAATAGGGCACAGTTAAATTTATTTTAGCTATATTCTTTTTCTGTGTGTGGTGGTTTTTTTCTGTCTAAAAAATAAAAGTTAATATTTTTTTTCAATTTCCTTTCTTTAACAGTATTCTGCTTGGTCAAAGTCGTGATGGCATTGTATTCAGCACCGATGATTATTTTCGTCAACAAGATGGATATACATATAATGCTGCTCAGCTTGGTGATGCCCATGACTGGAACCAGAAGAGAGGTTTGAATGCATAAGAGGAATCCTATTAAATTATGCTTATATTTAGAAAATAGAAGTATAGCATAATGTCCATGTGTGTTAATAGTCTATATGGAACGGCGTATATCTATATTTTTAGTATAGTGTATATAGAAGTATGTATTTAGAGTATTCCTTATATTTTAATTAATGTGTATATATATACATTAAATTTTGAACTTTTAGAAGGTGCAGAGGTAAAAATAGAAAATCTCTGCTCTTTGTGCTATGACTTGCCGATTTGTTACCTTTGATACTAGTATCTTGATGGGAGAATGTAACCTTTTTAATGCTGGCAGCAGCAGAGTGTCCTATTTTTTCCAGTGTCTTTCCTGATCTCAGGTTCATCCAAAATTTATGGAAGAGTTTTCCTGAGGAAGATTCTAGTTCACTGTGTAGATTAACAGCTTTAATAGGTCATCTTGCTTAATACCTAGCAGTGTCCAAAGGTTGGGTTTAGTTGGCAAGGAAGTAAATACCTGAGGTAAGAAGGGTAGCAGACAGATTCTTGCTCTTTCTGTGGCAGTTTTCTAAGAATCTCATTGTCTGTCTGGTCTGCTCCAAGGGTGGACAAACTGAACTACGCCACTGCCTGTGCATGCACGTAACTGTCTGTGCTGCAGTGTCTCAAGCAGAAGCTTCCTTCCTGTCTAAAAGACTACTTTGCGTCAAAAGATACAGAGAGTCAAGGGAAAAAAAAAATATATTCTCCCCTTTTCTCCCCTCCTCACCCTAATGCAAAATTTGTGATAGATCGGGGAACATTTTGTGCATGAACAGTGAAGGAAGTTTTAGAGCAATCATTAGAATATCAATTATAAAGAGCACTTTTGGGGTTGGAGTGCAGCAATAATAAATACTTTGAAGTTCCCAATAGGAGCTTAAGGTAGTAGTTTATGGATGAGAGGGCCCAACACTTCACAATTATAAGACCTCCAAACAATTCTCACTTGGCAATGGCTCCGGGCTGTTTCTGACTAGACCTTAAGATCTCTGTAGTTCTCTATCACTTAGTTACACAGTGGTTTTGAGAACCAGAACAGTGTATAATTTAGTTAATTAGTGATTTTGATAGCAAGAACAAGAACAGCTGTGCTGTGTTGTATAGAACACCTCCACTGCAAAACATTTGCTTGAAGTTATACTCAATTCTTACCTCCTGCTTTGCCTAGATAGAGCTCTCTGACTTGAAGTGCTTCAGAAGCTCTTGGTTTCATTTGTGTGTGTATCCTTGAAATATATGAAATGAGAACTTCAGGGGAATGGTAATCCTGATAGTTGGGGTTCTTGTCTGACGAGTGAGTCTAGGTTAAAGTTTGATCTGGATTATATCAGCTGCGTAAGTTATTTATATATTTGCTAATACTCGTATGACAGTGTATTCAGCTGGAGCTTTATAATCCTAATGTCAGAATGATGGAGAAGAAAAAAATTTACTTTCTTCACGAATGAAAAAATTATACCCCCCCACCCCCATTTTTGGGGAGGAAGTGAATCTATAATATAGTAAGTATGAGAAAAAAAATAGTTACACATGAGACCCATTAGGGCAAAAAATGAATTGATTTTAGATGAACAGAATTTCAAACTTTGGAATGTTTATGAGACAGTGAATTACATACCCTTGATACTAAAACATACACATTTAATGTGAAGGTTGTAAGGTCAAGTTAACTAGTATTAGGAAATACTAAATTAATTTGCCACTGCGACTTTAATTGTGAAATCAGTGTCACTCTTACAGGGTTTTAGGCCATTTAAGTTCACTTTCGTGGCTTTGCTAAGTGTCTCCTATTTTAGTTTATTCTGCCACTCCTACTGGAACTTTTAGCTGCCTTTGATGTGTTTGTTGACTTGACAGCTTAGGTTGGGGTTTATTTGCTTTTTAAGCTCTGGTTTTGTTTGGTTTTGTCTTGACAGTGACTAATAAAATTAATTGGTAACTTTTTTACTTTTAAACAAAGCTTTATCTAAGATATTACATCAGCATACTTGGCATATAAAACAAAATAGTAGAATATATCAGGTGGGTTGTAGCTTACAATATAGTCTTTCTTCTCAAGCTTTTGTAAATTAGTGATCGTCCCATTGTCTTAATGATAAAATTGGCTATTCTCTTGCTACCTTTATGAATCTTTTCTGAAATGCATATTTCAGGATTTTTCCCTTACTTCTATCATCCTACCAGTTTCATTTTCTAGATTTTGGGGTTCAGAAAGATCATTTGTGCCAGGTTAATGAAGCCAGGGCAATAGATTTTTCTTTTTTTTTTTTTTAATTGCTTTTTCCATCGATTCTTAGTGCTCTGTTGGAATGTATTTTATCTTTGCTTTTTTCTTCCCTTCCATCTACAGAGTTACTTCCCAGCCTGTTCATTTAATTTTTTCCCATTGTATGGATTGATTTCCATAAAGATAAATCCGTAGTTCTCTCCAATAACTTAGGGTTTTTCTTGCTTCAGATTCCCACTTCATCCAGTGTACAGCTTGAGCAGTGTTCACTAAATGGGCAGGTATTCAACAGATGTATTTTTTAATCCTCGCATTCATTATGGATCTCACTTTTAATTTAATGCATACTATTTTAACTTTGTTTAATGGAACATTATTATTTCACTTGGAGCCTTTTTTGTATGAGTGTTATTTTAGTATTTTGAGCTTAAGATTTTCAGTTCTTTCATCTAGTTCATCATCTTAACTTTCGTCTGAGCACTCATGGTATTATATTCTGAATTTTTCATTTGTAAGCTAAGGCACAGTTGCTAAAAACATCTTCCTATTTTAGATGCTAAACTTAGCAGTTTAGATATTTTCTTCAGGGTATGTAGTAGTAATTAAACTTAATATATTCAGAATAAATTTTCACTGCCTTCTTATTCAGATGAGTTCACATCACTTCTGTAAGTGATACCTGTAACTTTTGAAATTGGGCAGCCAGAAAATGAAGATCATGCAAAGTAGCGGCCACTTAGAAAGAGGTGGGATGGTGCTCAAGAACATTCACCAAAAGATAATCCTTCTCCCTTTGCAGTCATCCTGACTTACTCATTATTTATTTCACAATTACTTTAAAAAAAAAAAAAAAAAAGGAATGCTTTGGTCATGCTGGTGATCTGATACATACCACTGATTCAACTACAAGTCCATCACATGCTGAAAGAAGTAGGAGTACATGGGAGGAAATAGTGCACAAACGTGTTTAAGGACAGTATGGTAATACATATACCCCATAATTACTACACACCCAGCCTTAATTCAGGTATTTCCTAAGGTTCAGAGTTTTGCTTTGCAACCATAATGCTTTTTTTTTTTTCCTTTTACACCCTTTCTGTGTCTTTTAAAAGAAGGACTGAATCCTTGCTCTTTTCCTGCAAGAATTTTGAAATGTGAAATTCATGATGTGTTGTGGCTCACATTGCTAGTACTGCTTAGAACTACCTAATTTTTTTTTTTCCTTGGCTTCAATGTGTAGCATTGGAGCAATTGATTTTTTTTTAATGGAATTCATCTTCACAATGCTTCTGTAAAACAGATAAGGAATTATTATGTTTTTACTGATTAACTGAGGAACAAAGAAGCCGAGGAATAGATTTTATAAGAGCCTTAATTTCACTTGTAAGATGCTTTAAAGTAGTTGTAGGAGGAGTTGAGGAATCTTCTTCATGAATCTGATAATCATAAGTTGGAAATCTGCTTTTCCATCTGGCTTCTTTTCAAGCTGCAAAAAGAACCTCATTTACTGATCCATGCACAAAGTAGTTCTTTTCTAAAGATGTAAAAGTAGTGTCCCTTTCTGCAAAGAATAGCAGAGGTCTTGCCTTCAAAATAAAAAGGTGAAGGAAGTTAAAACAATGAAAATTAAGGTAGCCCATTTGTCTCAACAGTGGTATACTCAAGTACCCTCTCTAGGTACTCTTATCTGCAGGAGTTCCGTCTGAACTTCTGGTAAGAAGAGCTGAACTGCTCTCCTAGTTTGTGTAAAATGGAGGTGGATATGAAGCTGATAAAGGTATAGAACTTGGGGTTTTCACTTCTTTGGGTAAGTCTCCTGTGTAGCATTATGTAGAAGCTGAATGTAATACTCATGCTCTCTAGATGTGCTCAAAAAATGTGGTTGTGCAATGTTTCATGCCGGGATCTCAAAAAAATATTCAGCAGGCCACAGACTGGGGGCAGTTCTGTTGTGTTGCTTTGACTTCTACACTTTCCATTTACCCCTCTCCATCAATTCACCACCACCTGATTTTTATGCCCTTCACTTAATTTTTCTTACCTTCTTGCTTCTACTTCATTCCTGTCTCTACCTTTCAGTGCTTTTATTCCTTTTCTTAGAGCAGTGTGTTTCAGTCAGACTAGATCGGTGCAAAAAACATCTGAAACATTTTATTTACATTTACTATTTTATTTCAGTTACATAGTTGTTTATTAACTTGCATTATTTTTCATTGCAGCAAAGCAAGCAATGGAGCAGGGAAAATCTCCAGTTATAATAGACAACACTAATACTCAAGCCTGGGAAATGAAGCCGTATGTGGAAGTGGTAGGTTTTGTTGTGTGATTATATCATCCGTTACAGCTTTTCAAACTTAACTTCACATGTGGTAAGTTGGTCTGTTTTGTCCAGAAGCATTTTCCTTACTCAAGTTTCTAAAGAGAGACTGCTTATTGATATGATCAGTAATTGGTATGGCAATAGTTCACACCAGTTTGAGGATTGACATGATCTCATCTGCTTAGCCTGGAATGAAAGCTAAGACTGGTTGGGGGTAAGTGAAATTCAGCATGCTACCACAGCAGACTTAACTACATTGGTTTATTATACTGGTCTATAAACTTTATGTTACAGTTTATGTAATAATGATACACACAGCACACATTTTTCTTTTGCTTGTTGCAGGCTCTGGAAAAGGGATACAGAGTGGAGTTTCATGAGCCAGATACTTGGTGGAAGTTTGATCCTGAAGAATTAGAAAAGTAAGGCTTATATTACAGAAATCATTGTACCTGTATATATAGAGATAGATAAGACAGACAGATAAATATGCATACATAAGTTTGAAGTACGTTATATTTTATTCAGTATCTTATTTTTTTAAATACTTAACTACTAGTATAAAATGTATTTTGTTTAAACAGACATTTTGAGATCTATCTTTAAATGGAAGTGTTACGGATAAACAAAGAGACAAATAGAGGTCCTGTCTTGTTGGCTCAAAATGTCAGTATTAAAATTTTGTTGGACATGAGTAGAAAAATGATTGACTCCTGTAAGAATTGCAGCTATTGTAGTGAATCATTATTCTGAGAAATTTGTTGCTACAAAATACTGATGGCAAGAAATAGGTAGAAGCCGAAAAGAAACTACGCATTTTGCAAGGAGTGCATCGATATAAGTGCTTTGTTTTGTCTATTTTTATAGTTATCTCGGTGTCAAAGAGCAACGGTCCATTACTAATCAGTAAAGGTTAAAGAGAAAGCTCACATTTTAGATTATTCTATTGTAAGATTTTGTGAAATTGTCCCCAGTATTCAGAGGATCTGACTTAGAGTACTGTTGGACATAGGTCATTGGACTTCTGGGTTGTCAGAGTACCTGGGAAGCTGCTTATTATTCCTGGTTACTGTCTCTTTTGTCTCGGATGTGTCTGCTTTAGGAATCTATGGGGTATCAAACCAACTTTAGGGATATTTCATTGTTTGAAATGTAGTATTTTCATGGTTGATCACAAAGAGTTTTCTCACTGGTGGTCATTTTATATGTTTCCAACTGACTTGGCTTACAATTATTTCAGCTTTGTAAAGTAGCGCCTACAATGCACAAAGTATGTGTGAATAATACTTACATTGCTGACTTGGACTTTATTGTGTTTATAAATCTTTTAAAGTTTTCACCTTTTGCTCCTAAGCTACCACTAACTTATTTTTAGAGATGGAGTCCTCTCTCTGTAGGATAAATTCTAATAGGTTTTTCTAGTTTGGGGTGCAGCACAGCCAAGTTAGGAAGCTGTTTTAATAATCAGGCATATCTAAGATGTTCAGTGTGAGATTTCCATTACATGAGACAGACTCATTTTCCTGGAAAATTCATGTTTTCACATGGTCTTAACAGGTAGCAGGATAAGCAAATGTGAAGTGTTGTTACCGTTGAATTTTATTGTGCAGTCATTAATTGTAGGAGTAAAGTTTGTCTTTCCCAAAAGCAAAGGAAAACCCTTGAACTGTGAAGTGCTGCTACCAGTGCTTAGGAGCTTCCTAGAAACGTTTTAGCAGCTCCCATTGTTTTAAATATTTGAATAGAGGCCCATTGTCTGGAAACTTTATTTTTTGAGAGTTTGGGAAAGGTGGTGATGTGAGGTTTTGGTTTGGTTTTCAATTGCTTGGAGAGAGGGCTCAATTTTTAAGGTTTGGGTGGTTTTTTTCTCCATATCCGTGTGTTTGGGAAGTAGATAATGGTAGAGATGATGTTGTAGATTTGGGATTCCCCTTATGAATTCTGAGCTCAATGTTTTGTGCAGCTCTTGGGCAAATGCTATGCTAATAATAAATTCAGGTAATTTTATTAGTTGTCTGAGTCATATGTTCTAATTCCCTCCTAAGCAGGATCACTTAAGACTCTTTGTTTCTGGTAGTTGGAATAAAAAATACACTCCCTCCTACTTGAATTGGCAAAATACTTACATTTTTGATACGTGCTGCTCATTTATTTGTTTTTAGTAGTGCTGTCTAGATTGTTAGTAACTTTTATCAAGTGATATAGTATCTCGATATTCTAAAAGCCAGTTGCATTTCTAGATATTTTTATAGGGTTGTTTCTGCCATCGCTTAATGTGTTTGAGAAATTTGTGAAAAGGCTCTCTAGGTCAACACCGGGTGAATTCTTGATGACAAGAACGTGACAGATGTTTTAGTGTGGAATAGGTGTTGATGTCTTTTTCTTCCAGTGTGTCTGTGAGGTACAAATTATCTTTAGAGTCATTCATGAGTGATTTTGTGTTTAGTTTTGTGCACATAACTTTTGTGAAAACATCTTGGCTCCACAGACATATGTCTTGTGGTAGTGCTCAGGACTTCTTGCATAGCATTTAGACCTTTATATAAAGGATTTTGTACTTTGATACCATTTTAGGAAGTCTTGAAAACTGCAAGTGAGAGAACACGAGTGGCAAAATCACTGGTATACAAGAAATTTTTTTTATTATTGTTACTTTCTTTTTTAAGTGTTTAGTCAGTGTTGGATGAAAAAATTACCCTCTGTCATGTTTGTATGCTTTCTGAGTAGCTGGTCAGTTGGGACTTAGAATTTTAAAAAAAGAAAGTATACATTTGATGCAAGCTTTTGGGGAACAACAGGTATCCTGTGCATAATCTGTTATTTGGGACAGATGTTGCTTTAACTTAAAGTTATCTGCTGTGTAACTTCACACAGAAGTGAAATGCAAACATGTTTAATATAATCCTTTTTCCTTCAATATGATCATAAAACTGCAATTTGGTAGTGACTTCATTAAACTTGTGCTGATTCTTTTAAGTAGTCATGTCTATGAAGGATTACTTTGCCAGTATATTGGTACGTAAGATTCTTCTAGTGTAGAAGCATTTAATAGTGACAGAACTTTGATTTTATCAATAGATTCTGTGTTCCTCCAAGCAAAACCAGCTTCCAAATTCTAACTATCTGTTAGGCACTTTTGCTAGTACATCTCTATTGGTAAAGGATAGATGGCTTTATGCACTTTCAGCATAGTCAAGCCACCAAAGGATGAGTGAAGGCATGCCTGAAGAGGAGATCCCAGTATTAAATGACACTATACAGCAGATTTGTTTGCTTTTTGAAGTTAATTTCTATGCTTCATGCGATTTTGCTGGTGGTGATTTTATTCTCCTGCTTCGTCCTTTAAGGAAAAGTACTTATTTATGAAGTGGTTATACACAAGTCCATTCAATTGTGGATGAGTGTGCACTTTATGCCCGGAGCACTTGAGCTGTAATCTTTTTCTAGGAATACTAAGATATGGAAAATATTGAATAACTTTGTGCTTCCACCATTTGGCATAAAAGGACTTAGACTTCCTCATCGTGTTTTATTTTTCTGTCATGAGAGTCAAGTGCTTTATAGAATCCCCATATTTCTGGGGGATTGGCTTTTTTCTTTACCATTAACCTTGTTCATATTTGTGAATAGCACCAAAACTGTTAAGACTTGTTAACTGATAAGTTCAACATACTGCTGCTCCTGGACTACTTTAGCACAATGTAGAAATCAGTAGCATTTAGACAGCATCACAAGCCGCTTGTGATGATCACTGTAGCTTCTGATGTTGTCTCAGGTAAGAGTGTGTATGAAAGAAATGCTCTACTTAAACCTTTTCTTCCCAGAAAGAAAGCTGGTAAGATACACCTTAAGGAGCCAACATAATTCTGAGTATTTCTGAGATCACTAATTCTTCCATTCTGGATGTGAAACTAGTGAAACCTAGAGTATGCTTTGAACCCTCATCAACTTGAAATGTACTTCTTTGTTGTAATAATATCCACAAACTCAGGGGAGGGCGGGGGGAGGAAATCAATCTTTAAAATATTTCTGTATAGAGTATCCTCTTTCCAGCATAGCCTGTTTATTCCCAGTATTGATTTCTCCTCCGTAGAACTGAGCAAGTTGGAGAGGAGGCCCATGACTCTTCTGTACCTGGCAGAAAGCACTAAAATGCAGGCATATATTCCCTGTTGGTGTGACTTGGAAATAATTCAGCTTGGACAAGTTTTCTTGGTGATAAGAATGTATTGGGTTATGATAAATACTTGTCTACACTATCGAAACATTTTGTTTCTGTTTTATGTCTGTTCTTTTAGATTCAGTTGTGTTACAGTGCTGGCAATTCTCTGACATTCAATTTGTGCATGAGCTTCATGGTTTTCTTTTTGGCAGAGACCGAAATTTTCTGCTAACATGGATTTTAAGATCCTATTCCATAGATACTAAGTAGATACATTCTAATGTAGTGTCTAATGTCTCAGGTTCTTAACAGGCCAAGTTCTGACTGAAAGTAGCTGTTCACTAAACACTGCAAGAACAGGACAACAGTACTTTTGGCCTCTCCTCCCTTATATGTGTTTTGGTACACTTCTAAATTTACAGCAAGTATCAGTAAGAGGTAGTACATAAAGGTATGAGCATGCTATTCTGGTTCAAAACTAAAATTGCTCCTTATTTTATATAGAGACTTACTGATGGGAAAATATTCTGTCATTAAGTCTTGAAACCATGTAGTTTCATTTTTTTTTTTCATGCTAGCTTGAGCATTGGTTTCATAAATAGTAGTCTATAATATTATTCATCCTTCTACTCATTAGCTAGTATACCATGTCAGATCTGATGAGTAGATAGAAAGCAAGGTCCTTCTAGGGTTATTTAAGTACATAGTCCTGGAGATTAACATCACATTTCTGTACGAAGAAGGACGACTGTATTGTTTTCTGTTATTTAATATACGCAGTGGTGAATGGTTAAAATGAACCTCAATACAAGTTGAATACTGAGAGAATGAGGATACAGTATAATAAAATATTGAAAGCAGGAAGAAAAATTGTGACATTAGAGATTTTTTTTTTCTTAAAGACTGTAAACATATAAACATACCAGACAATTTATTTAAACTTTTATTTTTGTAGGAGGAATAAACATGGGGTCACTCGTGAGAAGATTGCTCAGATGTTGGAACGATATGAATATCAAATATCCATACCTATTGTCATGAATTCAGTGGTACCTCCCCACAAAAACACTCAAAGGCCACCTCTGCAGCGAAGACATAGGTGGGGAAACAATACAGACTCATGGAATTCTTTCAGTATTTCCAGTAGCCGATAACACAGTTGCAGTCAGTTAATAAAAACCTGTTACTTTCCCTTCTAAAACACAGCATCACCTCCAATAAGTAGTGGATCTTCTGCGTTTTAAATAGGCCTATTTCAAGACCATTTTATTCTGGAGGCTGTTCCTTTAACAGACTTGCATGTAAATAAAATTGTACATTAAATGTTTTTTAAAACTATATTTATTACAGTTGTAATAACTTTGATTTTAGTAAAGTATTTAATATAGTATGACATATAGTAGAGTCTTCCTTCATAAACCTAGGACAATGATGATGTCATATATTAAGTAACTGTTGAGCAGTTTTTTTTAAAGAAGAGTTCATATTAGATATCTTTTAAAAGAGCATTAAAGCCCCACAGAAGAGGTTATTTACATAATAACCAATTTTAATGATTTTCATTTAGTCTTCTTGTCTTTTAGGAGATTTTTTTGAAAACAATTATGTCCTGGATTGTCTTTTTGTTGTATTTGGCATGTATTACCAATTGGCAAATTTTTGGCATGGATTTTCTGGTTTCAGTTGTGGTGTCTGGGGTTGTTGTCTCAGAAGCTCATCTGGCAGCTGAAGCAACATTCTGCCAACACAGTATTCACCAGCCTTAAACTGTGCGACCTGAATTATTTTTTTTGTTTGTTCTCAGTGAAGGTATATAAACTATGATGGTGGCTGTACACCACCAACTTTTTTGTGCTGACTAAAAAAACCTAAATGTTATCATTAAACCCCCAAAATTTCACAGGTATGTCTTTCTAAGTCAATTTCTTTCATTTACGATAGAAATGAAGGATTAAAGCGCTAAGCTGTCAAGTCTCGGTTCGCAGTTGGGATGCATCAATTCAATATAAATAGTGGATATAATTTGGCAAAGCCATGTTGTGTTCCTAATTTTGGCACAGCCAATGTAATCTGTTTAGCACACAACAAAGAATGAGCCAGCATGGAGATTGACTAGTTTACTGCCCTTTTTCTCTGAAAAAATGACGAATTTGTAAGTTTTCACTTTGCTTGCTTTCTAACAGCTTGCTGTATTAATAAAATGTATTTGTCTTCAGTGTTGTTTCAGTAGTTCGATGCAACAGCTTTTATTATTTTCAAGCTTGTAGGATTTTGTACAGATGAGCATTATTACTAACCTGCTAGCTGAAACAACCCATCTTCAGGTCTAACTACATTTGATTTCTTTGTACACTGAATGAGTAAATCCTGAATAGGAAGTTTTGTCAAGAATGTGAGTACGTAGCTAAAAGAATTTTCATGGTTTTCTATTACTAATTTGGTGTAATAGCCATCAGAATTTTGAAAATTCCAAAGCCAGTGGAATTTTTTTTACCTGTAGAAAATTTTTGAGTAGACCCCCAAAATTACTTCATCTTTCAAGTCTGAATACCATGAAAGTTGAACATCCAGTATATAATGAAGTATCTGTGGTTTTCTACACCTGTTGTGCAAATCTAAATTTGTACAATTTAATGTGTATCTACAATAACATTTTCATAAGAGATTTTTTTAACTATGAAGGTTGACGTGTGCAGTTTCACATTTTAGTAATAATTTTAAATATTTGAAAAATAATTTAAAATGCTTCATTAGTGCATGGATTGTTAATATATTGAATTACGTGTGTACATAAAAAAACCGAGCTCTCCACCTATATTAATTGCCTTCCCTCATTGTCTTTTATTTGTACCAATTATGTTATTGTATTTTAGTTTTCATGGTTCTCTTTTTCCATGTCTCAAAAGAATCATGAAGTCCTTGTAAATGGTCAGTAATACTTTAATTATCCCAAAGTTTTTATATTTAAACATGAAAGTGTATTTCAAGTGGGAGGAAGATAAAAAGGTTTTAGAAAGACTCATTTTATTTACTCTATATTACTTTAAGCTGTAATAAAGTGATAAACTTTATTGAGGCTTTATGTAATATTCACACAGTGTGCTAAGGTATGACAAAAAAGACCTGATTATTGAAAATTGATGTTACGGTAACTTTTGGTACCTTCTGTCTTCAGTTTTTAAATGGATTTTTTTTTTTCTTTAGCAATACTTAAATGATATTTAAGTTTTCTTTAACTGGAATTTGTATTTAAATAGATGTGAATTCATACTATTTTAAAATGGTACAGCATTTTTTTGTGTTACCTTTAATAAATGATTGGTGGATGGTGAGTATTTTTGATATGCAAAGCATGTTGATCAATAATAGGCGTGCAGTTTGCAAAGGACACGTAACAAGAAAGGAATGCTTTGCGACTTGGCACTGTATCAAACGTTTCTTGTAAACTGCTTAATCTGTAAAGCTGTATTCCAAGGTAAGTACAATGACATGGTAGGTGGAAACATGATGGAATTACTGTCTGTACAACACATTTTTGTTGCATGATATATTAATATATTTAATGAGGATATGACAGTCATGGTCATACGCATATCTCAGAAGTTGCTTTTACGCTACAATATTTATATGTAGAAATAATAAAAAGATGATGTGAAATACATGTTGCAGGTATTGAATTTCTCCTGCTCCCTCACAAACAAGGAAAGTTACGTATGTTGTCAAAAAGTATGTACAAGAAATGTGAGAACTCACTGTTCAGTTAGACTGAGGATCTAAAAATTGTTACTGTCTGGCATCGTTTTTATGCAATACACCTGTTGATGATAATAATGTACCTAGAACGAAGGTTTCCTGTTGTTTTAGATTTCTAGTAAACTGCTAGTTCATTTATTTAATGAAATAATAGTGTCAGGATTTTTTTTTAAATACAACTAATGCATAGAACCTTAACGTTACGAATGCAGATTCTAAGTATCTGCTGCATACGTCAAACTAGTGAGATGTTCAGTAAGTAAATTTAAACAAAATAGTTCAGATACTCAGCTGTAGTTTTACCGGCTCTTCTAAGCATGAAATTTAAATGAGAATTAATTTGCAGAACATATATAATTTGGTTCATATCGCTGACCAGTTAGCATCAGCTACATAGGATTACATGTTGCTATAGAAAAAAATAGTTGTAGTTTTGCTACTTCATCTAAACTGCTGTTTCTTGTTTGATTAGTTTACTTCCTGAATTATCAAAAGTTGTCATCTGCCTTGTCTTTGACGGATGATTTACTATTCTTATTTTTCTTTTGTTTGGAGAAGAAAAAAAACCATAAACAATATAAACAAAACCAACAAAACAAAACATACCCACCACAAAACCAAACCCTAGAAGACCTATGTGCTGGTTTAGGTTGGGGTAGAGTTAATTTTCTTCATCAGAGCTGGTATGGGGCCATGGTTTGGGTTTGTGCTGGGAACGGCGTTGATAACTGAGGGATGTTTAGTTATCGCCGAGCAGGGCTTACACAGAGTCAAGGCCTCTTCTGCTCCTCACCCCACCCCACCCACGAGGGGACACAGCCGGGACAGCTGCCCCCAATGACCCCGG